GAAAACAAAAACCTAAATCAAAAGAGCTTTATGAACTGAAAGATAGAGATAAAAGGACGTTTGTACTTCCTAGTTCTATTAATGTGTACAAAAGATGTACCAAAAATCCCATGAAAGACCTTAAAAATAACACTTTTTCGTCATCCTTTAAAATGATTTTGTCGAGTTGACAGAAGTGGAGAATAATGTGATTGTCGGACCTGAAACCTAAATGTTTTCAGCCGGATTTGAACCCAGGATGTTGCTTTCATTATTCCAACAGGAAGTGCTCATTTCCTCTGATCTCATCTGACTCCAGATCTGTTTACTTTAAGCTATATGTGTTCGTTTGACATTATTATTATTGTTGGGTCAAATTATGAGTTCTAAAACGCTGATAAACTGCAGGAACTCTGAATCTGTGTGTGTGTGTGTGTGTGTGTGTGTGTAGTGTGGTGTGTGTGTGTGTGTGTGTGTGTGTGTGTGTGTGTGTGTGTGTGTGTGTGTGTGTGTGTGTGTGTGTGTGTGTGTGTGTGTGTGTGTCGTGTGTGTGTGTGTGTGTGTGTGTGTGTGTGTGTGTGTGTGTTGTGTGTGTGTGTGTGTTGTGTGTGTGTGTGTGTGTGTGTGTGTGTGTGTGTGTGTGTGTGTGTGTGTGTGTGTGTGTGTGTGTGTGTGTGTGTGTGTGTGTGTGTCCGTCCCAATATTACTACATGTAGGGTACGGTTGGGAATTGGGCTTTCCTGTTGGGGGGTTTAATAACCTACTCCCAGGTGCTAGTGGTTTAAAAGTGTTGCTTTTAGTGTGACTTTTTTAATCTTGAATGGATCAGTGAAGCCAATGTGAGGCTTCTAAGGATTGAGTATTCATTTAAAAATAATCACATTGCTTGGTTTTATTCATCACAGTTTTATTTATTTATCGCCACAAAAAACAGCATTTTTGCCGTTTTTTGCGTTAAAGTACAGTGTGTATGGAAAGCCAACCGTGCCATAAACACCTCCACTCATTCATAGTTTGTTATAGTTAAATAACATCTTGTTAAGCTTGTTTTGGTTATTTAAAACGCCCCTTAATGTGTATTTCTGCCGCGATTGAAGCATTTCGTTATGATAGTAAAAGCTCCGTAAAAAGCGGCGTTTAAAAATAAAATGTGTTTGACTAAAACCTGTTAAGTAGTGATGTTTATTGGCACTGTTGGCATTCAATATGTCCTGTCTGTACTTTCACTCTTGGCTAAAAAAGTCAAAAAAAACATTTGAAAATGCTTATTTTTTGTGGCGATAAATAAATAAAACTAAGATGAATAGGGTTAGGGTTAAATGGCACTGTTGGCTTTCCATACTTACATATAAATGTGCAGGATTTGGAAAAGGGGAGTGTTAAAGGGGGCGTGTGTGAGTCTGCAGCTTGAACACGCCTCCTCCTTCTCATTGGCCAAGGCAAATAAACCCCTCAGCTGCTGATTGGCTCAAAGCTTCCTCATTGTGTTTTCCTCTTAAATGAAGAGCTCACAGAGCCTCAGGACTCCACAGTAAAAAGACCCTCCTTCTCACACACCGGAGTATATCTAATCTATATATATCTAAGTATAAATTGATTGATTGACACCATGCTGTCCATGTTTCTGGAGTCCCTCGGCATGGCGCTGTGCCTCGCCGGCTCTCTTCTGGTCATGGTGGCTTGCGGCCTGCCCATGTGGAAGGTCACGGCGTTCATCGACTCCAACATCGTGGTGGCGCAGACGATCTGGGACGGACTCTGGATGTCCTGCGTGGTCCAGAGCACCGGGCAGATGCAGTGCAAGATACACGACTCGGTGCGTTGGACACTCTTTTATATTTCCCTACTTCCTTATTTCCCTATTTCCCAGATTTGGAGAATATTAAGAGTGATTTTTGGGAAGTTATTGAGTTCGAATATGGGTTTCTAAATCCTGATATTGTTAGAAATGGCAATTCAGCATCCTCAATAACCCCCACAAACCACTCCTAATAGTAGGCTATTGCACACCTTGTTTTTTCCCCGTTACTAAATCTGGCTTTTTCTGACATTATTTGAGTGGTTGTTGGGGGTTATTGAGGATGCTGAAGCCCACCTGGAGTACGAAAATGGGTTTCTAGATCCTGATATTATTAGAAATAGCAATTAAGCATCCTCAATAACCCCCAATAATTTGCATTATAGTCCATGAAGACAATTTGGACAATTTTGGAGTGGGGCTTTATAGGTTATTGAGGATGCTGAAGCCCACTAGGCATAGGAATGTGGGTCCTTTCTGGTTTCTAGATCCTGATAAAGTCAGAAATGGCAATTAAGCATCCTCAATAACCCCCACAAACCACTCCTAATAGTATTGCACACTTTCTTCTTTTCCCTTGACCAAATCTGGCTGTTTTCTGACATTATTTGAGTGGTTTTTGGGGGTTATTGAGGATGCTGAAGCCCACCGGGAGCAGGAATATGGGCACTTTCTGGTTGCTGGATCCTAATATTGTTCGAAACAGATTCAGCATCCTCAATAACCCCCAAAAAACCACTCCAGAATGATCCAAATGGACCAAGCTTTTTAAGCTATTGTGTATATTAATGCTAATTAATGCAACTTTTGCAAATCACCCAACATATGCAGATTAGCACACGACAGTTTCTATGTTCTGGAGACCCCTACTATACATTTATATCATAACACTTTGGGGTCCTCACGTTTCCGGGTTCACAATATGACTCTTTGAGCTGGCAAATAGCACTGTGTAAAGTGCGCTAATTAAATTGGATAAGAGTCTATGAAGATTATTTTGAATTTGGACAACTTGAAGTGGTTGTGGGGTTATTGGGGATACTGAATCCATTTCTGACATTATCAGGTCCATAATGGTAATTTTAACCAAAACAATGTGCATATTTATATTCTCTGTGACCTGATATGAGCTGGAAACTAGACATGGCAATCCAACTCACCCTCACGCTTTCTTCCCCTACAGGTGCTGGTTAGGGTCAGTAAAAAGAGCAATCAAATAACTACAAGAAACATAGACAGTCACATAAGTAATGTAAATGCTGTACAGCAGGGGGGTCAAACTTAATTTCAACTCGGGCCACATTAGCATCATGGTTGCACTCAAAGGGCCAGTTTTATATATAAGACTATATAAGAATAAATATATAAATATTTTATGTATATAAAATAATGTATTATATATTACATTATTGCCTCTGCATTGGATTATTATCGGATAGGGTAATAACTTCATAATTAACTCTGAAAGCAGAAGTCTAGGGCAAACAATTGCAAGTCTCTTCTGTGCACATGTCACAAAATGATTTAAAAAGAAAAGCCAAATTCTGAAAAAAGTTTTAAAAAAATAAGTGACATTTTTTTAAAAACAACAACAAAAAATCAAATTCCTAGAAAAAAGTCTAATTTGAGATGCATTGTGGGACATGTAGTTTATGGGCAATGTGCTTCTGTAAATCATCACGTAACCGTATAATACATATTATAACATATATTCTTTGCAAGCTCTTGTGGGGCCACATTAAATGAAGTCGCGGGCTGGATTTGGCCCCCGGGCCTTGAGTTTGACCCCCCTGCTGTACAAGCGTTAATTAGCATTAAATTGCATTATAGCCTGACAATTTAGATTGGTCTTTGGAGCTAATGGGAATCCCAAATAGCAGAAAGTGGGCACCTTTGTGCTCTCAGTAGTCTCATATGAGCTGGAAACTAGACTATGATCTATTTTTTTACACTGTAATACAACTCACCCTCCCCGTTTCCTCTTCATTTCTAATTGTGCAAATTGCCCGCCAGTTGTTTTTTGCTTCGGTTGTTGGGGGGCTGGAGTCTGGAGACCCGTACTATACATTTCTATCATAAATCGTTGGTGTAGTCACGTTTCCGGGTTCACAGTAGAAGTCTTTGAGCCGGTACGTAGCGATGTGAAAGTTGCGTTAATTAGCATTACATTGCATTAATGAAGACAATTTGGACAATGGAGTGATTTTGGGGCTTTAGCATCCAAATGGCAAACTCTCATGAAACTAGACTTGAATCTGTTTTTTTACACTGTAACTAATCTCCCCCTCCCCATTTCTCCCACAGATGCTGTCTCTGTCTCAGGACCTTCAGACGGCTCGAGCGCTCACCGTCATCGCGGCTGTTTTCGGGGTCTTGGCGTTAGCGGTGACGCTGGCCGGCGCTCAGTGTACCAACTGCATCCAGGAGGAGGCGCTGAAGGGGCGCATCGTTTTCACCGGGGGGGTCTTATACATCTTCAGCGGGCTCTTTGTTCTCGTGCCGCTCTGCTGGATGGCCAACAACATCATCGTGGATTTCCACAACCCTCAGATTCCTCCGTCAAAAAAGAGGGAAATCGGGGCGGCCATTTATATCGGATGGGCTTCCACGGCGTTATTGTTGATGGGGGGGGGGCTGCTGTGCTGCTCCTTCTCCCAGGGGGCGAGGGGAGGGTATCCCATAAAATACACCCCCACCAAGAGCATCACCTCCAACGGGGACAAGAAGCACTACGTTTGAGGAGGGGACTTTTGGAGCGGAAATGAAGCTAAAACTGCAACTAAGACGTGTCTTGAAGTTTCCTACATTTTTGTTTTTCCTGCAACGAGACGATCAGATGCAACAGGGAGTTTGACAAAGAAGAATTATGCACAAAAGAGACTTTTAGGAAGAAAAACGTAGGTCACAGGCTCCTCCAACAGAGCAACATGTATATAGGACATAGAACCAGGGCTGTTTCTAGCTTTTTGGGGGCCCTGTGCAAGATGCTGTTTGGGGTCCCTCGTTTTTTAACTACAATGGGGGGGTTCCGAGGTCTTTAAGATGATCTGTGGAGACGCATCAATCTGTTACACTTTAAGAGGAAAACAGGCTACTTTCACGAAAACCAAGCAATTGAAACTTACAAAAAATGATATTAAAAAGGTTAACAATACCATTACATTACATTACATGTTGCTTGTTAGACGCTTTTATCCAAAGCGACTTATATACTCAATACTGTGGGCAATCTCCACAGGAGCAATTTGGGGTGAAATGTCTCAGGGACACAACGACATGCTGACTGCAGTGGGGTTTGAACCTGTGTCCCTCTGATCCAAAGACCAAGGCTCTATCCTCTACGTCAATAAATGCAAGAGATGCAGCATTTTCTCAACAATATATAATTTACATTTTTCATCTTCCTCACTCATTGGCTGACAGCCCAACGATGATTTGGACTTTATTACCCCAAAAACACAAGTCACCGCTTTGCTAACATTGCAGTTGAGTTGTGTTTATATCCTACATTTGATTTTTAAATATAATGCTTCACCAAACACAGGAGGGGGCTTGGCGGTCTACATTAAATACGTCTAACTTTAATTCTCCCCAAATATATTGAGGCTGAACCTGAACTCTCAGCTTGGGGGCCCCCTAGTGGCCGCGGGGGCATCTGCATAGTCCGCCTATAGGAAGAAACGGCCCTGCATAGAACAATAAAACAGATAAAATAGTGCAAGAGTTTTTAACTTTAAGGAGACTTTTGGAGCGGAGGTGAAGCTAACGCGCCAGGGTTGAAGCTGATAGAGAAGCTTCTTGTGTTGGTGTTTTTGAAAAGATATGCTTTGTAGAAATCCACTTTTATTTTTGGGGGGACTTCTTTGGAGCATCTGGTCCAATGGGGACAAACACTACGTCTGAGGAACTTTAGGGGGACTTTTGAGCGAGATGAAGCTAAAACTGAGACGTTTCCTCCAGTTTCAAGGCTTTAGTGTCATTTGCTCAGCAGCTACAGAGTAGATATGGCAATTACAATCTGAAGGCCCAGGCTCCTCCAACAGAGCGACATGAATATAGGACATCGAACAATAACACAGATAAAATAGTGCAAGAGTTTTTAACTTTAGGGGGACTTTTGGAGCGGAGGTGAAGCTAACGGTTTCTGCTAAAACTGCAACTAAGAAGTAATAATAATACATTTCCTTTATATTATATAACACACTTTAAAAACAACGTCATCTCAAGGAGAAAATACAATAAAATAAAAAGTTATCTGAGCTTATACGAGCTGTAGCGCTGCCAAAACTTCTGTTAAAGTGTATAACGGTTGTAGTGTCCGCAGAAACTGAAAAGGCTTTAATCCCTCACAGGGTTGAAGCTGATAGAGAAGCTTCTTGTTTGGGGGTTTTTCGACAAGAAATGCTTCGTAGAAATCCACTTTTATTTTTTGGGGGACTTCTTTGAAGCCAACCTGGACCTTCGCTCAATGTTTGAAATGATGTCTGGTGAAAATGCGACTAAATCTTTTCTTTTTAACTCATTTTCAAAGTGAGGAAACTGGTGGAAACGAACCAGGTTGTTTTTGACAAGAAACTCAAAGGGATAAAACTGCAACTACAAATGTGTCCCGAGGTTATTTCTCTATAATTCTTCTGTCCAGTAGTAACGCTGATGTTTTCAGTCTGCTGTCCTGTCTTCAATGGGGAGTGTGTGTTTTGTATTTTGGCGACTTGTTTCGAGACACACATCTGTTGTGAAAGTTTAAAAATGATGTTAAATCTGCAGCTCGTTAAGACTTAACGAGCTCACTGATGTACTCAGGAGTTCATTAATGCTTCAACACAACGACTGCAATCAATTAGTGGTTAACGAGAGGCTTAACGAGTTAACCTGTAATCCATGGATCATTGTGTGTGTGTGTGTGTGTGTGTGTGTGTGTGTGTGGTTAATAGACCCCTCACCTCCCAGTGGACTCGTTTACTTCCTGGTTCCCACAGTGAACAGCAGGCGCTGAGATGTTTTAAATTCACATTTGAATACATGTCCAGTGTTTCTACTTCCTGACCAAAGTATTTTTAATAAAACATTCTTTTTTTAATAAATGAAAAACTCTAAATAGTGTCTGCACTTGTTTCTTTAATGCTTGGTGTATCTGATATATAAATATGCAATGACTTATAGATGCAATGGTTGACTTTGCCAGGTAGTATAGAGGGTGTTTCTCAATGTCGAGGAAGGATGCTCCAGAGCCACTATTTCAAGGATGCTACGACATCGAGTGCCGCCGAAGGACTGTTCCGATGTCCAGGATGCTTGGAATTCTACCGAGGCCGGCGGCCTACGTTGCGGGAAATTTCGAGGCTGCACATGTGTATCCTCCGCGGTCTTAAAATCCCCACAATGCTTTGCGCACGGACCAATTTCCAAACGTTTGGCGGAAGTCGCGCTCCATTGAAGGCGGGGCCTCGCATATGACGCACACCTGTTAGCCTGTTCCACCATTCTTCGCTTTCCGAGGCTAGGAAGGATTCTTGCCTCGCTTCTGAAGGACCTGACTCGGAGGGACATGTCCTACCAAGGAAGCGTCCTCGACATTGAGGAAAAACCCACAGGCTTCATGATAGAAAATATGAGAGATGCAAAAGAGGAAACGAGCTAATTCATTTTCAAAGTGTGAAATGGTTTCCTTTGTTTACGACTAACAGGAACAAGGAAAAACACGACTGTTAAAAGTCTTGGGGAAAAAGATGTTTGCGATTTCTTTTTGAAAGGACAAACTTTGGAGTTAGGCAGGTTTTAAATCATTATGATGATTTGGACTTTCAATAGAATCATAATAAGGAAACCCTTTAAAGCAGGGGGTCAGACTCAAACACTCAGTGGGCCAAAAATGTGTGCTAGTGGAGGGCCGGACTGGTTCAATGTTTATTGCAGAACTTATTGAAATGAACTTATTGCACATATTAAACCTGGAACTAACAAAGCTTCAATGATTGCCTATAAAAACAACATTAAATAATCAGCTGCATTCATTTCTTATGGCTCTATCTGCAGCTTCTCCAGAGTCATTTCTTATGAGTACATTTCTCCACAGGCCAACAACAGCTTCAACAAAACTATTCCCTCAAAGAGAAAACCAAACATGCCCTGTTGTCCTGAGAGAAAGTGCAGAAGGAAGCATCCATTGAACTCAGTGTGCTGCTCTGTGATGCTAGCTCAGATACTTGGCCTCTCATCTTGGGTGCAAGGTCATCAATGTTTGGGCTCAGGCTCTGAGCGGAGGAGACCCTCAGGATGGAGAGAAGGTGTGCGTGCAATATACCGGAGGGCCAGATCTAATAGGAGTTAGACATTATCCTGCGGGGCTGTTGTCGTGAGAGAGAAAGTGAAACTCAGCCTGTGTGTGTGTGTGTGTGTGTGTGTGTGTGTGTGTGTGTGTGTGTGTGTGTGTGTGTGTGTGTGTGTGTGTGTGTGTGTGTGTGTGTGTGTGTGTGTGTGTGTGTGTGTGTGTGTGTGTGTGTGTGTGTGTGTGTGTGTGTGTTCAGGCTGAGTTCCGCGATGTCTCGCAGACCCCACGCAGCAAGCAGGAAATGAACCCAGCTCACACTGTCCGCTCGCCAACACGGCCCCCAGACCCCACGCAGCATTCTCACCTGTTTGTCATCACTGGTGTCACTTCCTGGTTGCTAACAAACGCCATTGTAAAACATAATCTCTGATGTTCAGCTGTAACGGGGGTGGACCAATCAGAACAGAGTGGGCGAGCTGACCAATCAGAGCACAGTGGGCTCACATAGGGGAGGGGGGCAGGAGCTCCAACAAGCCGTGTAGTACAGAGACACAGATACACAGAGATGCTGTGAGAAACCAATGAGAGTTTGGAACATTGAACAAAGTGAATCTATTCTAGAGACCTCAACGATGGAGCTATGACCAGTAGAAATGACCGTGATGTGGGACCTTTGAGACACTGGAAAGAAAACAGGATTAGACTTCATGTCAGGGCTTTCATATAAAAAAAAGCACCAAAATATAACGAGGAAACAGCCAATCAGCAGCTCTCGCACGCGCTCTTGTTTGTTTGTGAAATAAAGGAAGAAAACAAGAGCCAGGATAATCAGGAGACACACACACACACGAGGTCAGTCTGAACAATGACTTTCTGCACAATCAGCAGCTCCACAGACAGGAAGCAGCAAGCAATCAGTAAACAAGAAGAAGTACTCACACACACAGAAAACTCTCACACACAGAAAACTCTCTCTCTCACACACACACAGAAAACTCTCTCTCTCACACACACACAGAAAACTCTCTCTCTCTCACACACACAGAAAACTCACACACACAGAAAACTCACACACACAGAAAACTCTCTCTCTCACACACACACACAGAAAACTCTCTCTCACACACACACACACAGAAAACTCACACACACAGAAAACTCACACACACAGAAAACTCACACACACAGAAAACTCTCTCTCTCACACACACACAGAAAACTCTCTCTCTCTCACACACACAGAAAACTCTCTCTCACACACACACACACAGAAAACTCACACACACAGAAAACTCTCTCTCTCACACACACACAGAAAACTCTCTCTCTCACACACACACAGAAAACTCTCTCTCTCTCACACACACAGAAAACTCTCTCTCACACACACACAGAAAACTCTCTCTCTCTCTCTCACACACAGAAAACTCTCTCTCTCTCACACACACAGAAAACGCTCTCTCTCTCTCTCCACACACACACACACACACACACACACACACACACACACACACACACACACACACACACACACACACACACACACACACACACACACACACACACACACACACACACACACACACACACACACACACACACACACACACACACACACACACACACACACAGTCCTCACTCACACACAGTCCTCACACACAGTCCTCACACACACACACACACACACAGTCCTCACACAGTCCTCACACACAGTCCTCACACACAGTCCTCACTCACACACAGTCCTCACACACAGTCCTCACACACACACACACACACACAGTCCTCACACACACACACAGTCCTCACACACAGTCCTCACACACACACAGTCCTCACACACAGTCCTCACTCACACACACAGTCCTCACACACAGTCCTCACACACAGTCCTCACACACACACACACAGTCCTCACACACAGTCCTCACACACAGTCCTCACTCACACACAGTCACACACACACAGTCCTCACAGACAGTCCTCACACAGTCCTCACTCACACACAGTCACACACACACAGTCCTCACAGACAGTCCTCACACAGTCCTCACACACACACAGTCCTCACACAGTCCTCACACACACACACACAGTCCTCACACACAGTCCTCACACACAGTCCTCACTCACACACAGTCACACACACACAGTCCACACACAGTCCTCACACAGTCCTCACACACAGTCCTCACTCACACACACAGTCCTCACTCACACACACACAGTCCTCACACACAGTCCTCACTCACACACACACACACAGTCCTCACACACAGTCCTCACTCACACACACAGTCCTCACTCACACACACAGTCCTCACTCACACACACAGTCCTCACTCACACACACAGTCCTCACTCACACACACACAGTCCTCACACAGTCCTCACACACAGTCCTCACTCACACACACAGTCCTCACACACACACACACAGTCCTCACACACACACACACAGTCCTCACACACACACACACACAGTCCTCACACACACAGAGAGACACACAAGCCTGTAAATGATGTCAGCAGGAAACGGCTGCAAGTAACGAACGATGTTAACGACCAATAACTTGAATATAATGTTGTGGTCAAATAAATAAGAAGAAACTGTGAAAACCCTGCAGGAAGTTTGGGTTAAAAAGACAGAAAAACGTCATATTCCAGGAGAAATGCAAACAAAATGAACACATTAAAGATAAATCTAAGTGAGGAAACATAAGACATTTATGTTGCTATTCTTTTTCAGTGTTATTGATGAACTGATGAAAAATATGATCAAAAAGTTGCTTTATTTGTTTCTGCAGTAAAAACAGGAATCCTTTAAATCCTGCAATCGTGTTTTTTATCTTCCACACCATAAATACATTATAATATACAAGTTATTGAGGCACGGTGAAATTAACCAAACACAAGCAAACTGTATTTCATAACAGATGTATCCCTAAAGCGCTTCAATCAGGCTTTATCACCTCGATCATTCAAGTGTTCTCTCGAACTGACATTCAGGATATTACATTAAACTAAAGTCAACAAATGTTTTCAATCTGGAAAAAAAAGTGATTATTTTGCAGTTTTTACAGAAATTCATCAAATAATCCTGAAGCAGCGCCCCCTGCTGGCTGTCCCGGGAAGTGGTCCTTTTACGGGTCAGTTCACACAAAACCTTGAATAAAATTAATCTTGTGTCAATTTATCAAATTCTAATGATTCTAATGACGTCTGCCAGACGATCCATTAGCAGCTTCGGTTTGCATTCAAAGGAAACTTTAAAACCAGAATATTCAGGCGGTTATAAGAGTTGTTTTTATTACTAAGCAGATTTGTGATTGTATATTTTTTAAACCCTTGCTTCTTGTTGAATTGGTCTCATTATTACTGTGTTAAAAAGCAGAATATTTAGATGTTAATTGTTGAAAAGGAGACAAATAACATACAAAACTAAAACTGTCTGCATGGCATGAAAGAAAGTATTGATCCTTAAATCTGGCGATGCATTAAAAGACGGACATTTTTGAGCCGATGGTATAAAGGAAAACTTTAAAACCCAAATATTCACGCAGTTATACGAGTTCTTTTTTTATTTCTAAGCAGATTTGTGATGTTTAAAGTGAACTGACCGTTAAATCAGCAAAGAAAAGTGACGTCTTTGCGCATAGAGTAAAAAATAAGTGCTTTAATTCTCTCGAAACGTGAAACATGTGGGAATCTCCTCCGAACGTCGGCATTTAATAGCGTTTTGGTACAAACATATAAAACCTGCAGCTCAGCTCACATTCTCCTATCTTTACGTATGAGGTAATGTCTCCAGGTCGACTCATCTGACTCCAGATCTGTGATTTATTGTCAGTTTTCGGTTGCGTATCACTGGTACTCCTTCAAGATTTGTCCAGCTATCACCAGTCTCTGGATCTCGCTGGTTCCCTCGTAGATCTCCGTGATGCGAGCGTCTCGATAATGCCTCTCCGCCGGCATGTCCGTCACGTAGCCCATCCCCCCCAGGACCTGGATCGCCTGGAATTCAAGTAAAACACACACACGGGATATTTAGAGAATCTTTAGGGGGGTGTTCTGTGGTTTTGACCGTCCGTTCTGATTGTTTTTTACCTGATGAGCGCAGAAGGTGGCGGCTTCAGACGCTGCGAGTTTAGCCATGGCTGCCTCCTGCAGGAAATACAAAGTGAGGGTAAACACGTGTGCAGAAATGTTAAAAGTAGGCCTGTCGCGATAAGCAATTAGTTGACTTATCGTTCGATAAATAAAAAGGAACTCGATAACTTTTATGACCTCGATACATTTCCATTTCCATGCGTGTTTGTTGATGTGACCAGCATTTTAGCTTTGAGGGGCGGGGCTCACACACAGCCAGGCGCGCTGTGAGGGGCGGGGCTCACACACAGCCAGGCGCGCTGTGAGGGGCGGGGCTCACACAGAGCCAGGCACGCAGTGAGGGGCGGGGCTCACACACAGCCAGGCGCGCTGTGAGGGGCGGGGCTCACACACAGCCAGGCTCGCAGTGAGGGGCGGGGGCTCACACAGAGCCAGGCACGCTGTGAGGGGCGGGGCTCACACACAGCCAGGCACGCTGTGAGGGGCGGGGCTCACACAGAGCCAGGCACGCTGTGAGGGGCGGGGCTCACACACAGCCAGGCACGCTGTGAGGGGCAGGGCTCACGCACAGCCAGGCACGCTGTGAGGGGCGGGGCTCACACACAGCCAGGCACGCAGTGAGGGGCGGGGCTCACACACAGCCAGGCACGCAGTGAGGGGCGGGGCTCACACACAGCCAGGCTCGCAGTGAGGGGCGGGGCTCACACAGAGCCAGGCACGCTGTGAGGGGCGGGGCTCACACACAGCCAGGCACGCTGTGAGGGGCAGGGCTCACGCACAGCCAGGCACGCTGTGAGGGGCGGGGCTCACACACAGCCAGGCACGCAGTGAGGGGCGGGGCTCACACACAGCCAGGCACGCAGTGAGGGGCGGGGCTCACACACAGCCAGGCACGCAGTGAGGGGCGGGGCTCACACACAGCCAGGCACGCAGTGAGGGGCGGGGCTCACACACAGCCAGGCACGCTGTGAGGGGCGGGGCTCACACACAGCCAGGCACGCTGTGAGGGGCGGGGCTCACACACAGCCAGGCACGCTGTGAGGGGCGGGGCTCACACACAGCCAGGCACGCAGTGAGGGGCGGGGCTCACACACAGCCAGGCACGCTGTGAGGGGCGGGGCTCACACACAGCCAGGCACGCAGTGAGGGGCGGGGCTCACACACAGCCAGGCACGCTGTGAGGAGCAGGGCTCACACACAGCCAGGCACGCTGTGAGGGGCGGGGCTCACACACAGCCAGGCTCGCTGTGAGGGGCGGGGGCTCACACACAGCCAGGCACGCAGTGAGGGGCGGGGCTCACACACAGCCAGGCACGCTGTGAGGAGCAGGGCTCACACACAGCCAGGCACGCAGTGAGGGGCGGGCTCACACACAGCCAGGCACGCTGTGAGGGGCGGGGCTCACACACAGCCAGGCACGCAGTGAGGGGCGGGCTCACACACAGCCAGGCACGCTGTGAGGGGCGGGGCTCACACACAGCCAGGCACGCAGTGAGGGGCGGGGCTCACACACAGCCAGGCACGCTGTGAGGAGCAGGGCTCACACACAGCCAGGCACGCTGTGAGGGGCGGGGCTCACACACAGCCAGGCACGCTGTGAGGGGCGGGGCTCACACACAGCCAGGCACGCTGTGAGGGGCGGGGCTCACACACAGCCAGGCACGCTGTGAGGAGCAGGGCTCACACACAGCCAGGCACGCTGTGAGGGGCGGGGCTCACACACAGCCAGGCACGCAGTGAGGGGCGGGCTCACACACAGCCAGGCACGCTGTGAGGGGCGGGGCTCACACACAGCCAGGCACGCAGTGAGGGGCGGGCTCACACACAGCCAGGCACGCTGTGAGGGTCCATTTGAAGTTCAATGGAATTGGTTTGCAAAACCTAATTCCACATCTCCGGTGTGGGAATATTTTGGATTTAAGCCAAATCAACGAGGCGAACCTACGGACTTGAATGAGCCGGTATGTCGCATTGGTTTTAAAAAGCAGTGTTACTTTTGGCAGCTATTTTTGATTTAGTCTTTAGACGAAAATGGTTATTAGTTTCAGTCACATTTTAGTCCTTTTTATCCTTCATAGTTTTAGTCAATGAAAAATCATAACATTTCAGTCAAAATGTTTTCTCTCTTTAAACTAATTCAGTCAAAGCAACATTTCACTCTCTCAACACTTTACTGTAATATCTAGGGATGTGTGTGCACGCCGCTGCAGCGTGTCTGTTAGGCCCCGCCCCCGCACAGAGAGACAGGGAGATGGCTCTTCTGGAGTGAAGAGAGCGGAAATAATGATATCGCAAGTTAGAAAAGTAAGATGCATTTTGACAGACAAGACACTTGGGGGAAAATATGCTGCATTTTGAATGTCCGATAGTCCACCATTAACACCTTAGTCTCGTCAACGAAAACTAAATATACATTTCGTCAAAGTTTTGTTTCGTTATCAAGAATCTATTTTTAGCTCGTCATCGTCTCGCCTAAGTGCTGTAAAAAAGGTCGTTGACGAATCATTATGTCAGTGGTCTAAAATGGTCTTACAACGGTGCCGACAATATTATCGTTTATCGCAATCATTTCCGGGGAAATGTATCGTCCAAGAAAATTAATTATCGCGACAGGCCGAGTGAAACGTGTTAAAATCAGAAGGAAGGAGTACCTTGGTGAAGGGTTTCTTTGAGTCTCGAAGCAGAGCAGCTTTCCAGGTGAGCAGGCGAGCGCTTTCCACCGCCACCCCCATGTCAGCCAGCTTAAACTACAGGAAAAACACTCAATCATTACAAAGAACATCGCTTTCCGGATCCTTAAAGTCAACGTTTTTAGCAGTTTTACCTCCAAATAGTGGTTTTAGATCCTTATAAAGTATTTTTTGACCCATTTATAAGAAACATTAAAGTATTTATCAGAAAGAAAACAAGTCGTAGTGCACCTTGGTTTTTATTTGAGTATAGAGAGTTCTATATGAGTGTTTGCACGACAGTCACCTGTATGGCCTGCAGCTTTCCGATCGGAGCTCCGAATGCAACGCGTTTGAGAGCGTAATCTGCAGCGCAGTCCAGAGACGCCTGAGCGATCCCCAGAGCCTGAGCAGCGATCCCGATCCTCCCGCTGTCCAGAGTTTGCTGCGAGACACAGAAAATGTACGTTTGACAAAGTAAAAAATGCTTTTTGAAGTCGATTGAGATCTTATTTTGAAAAAAGAGAATTTTGAAGGATGATTCAGCTCTTACTTTGAAAATAAAGTACCATAGCGATCTTGGTTTCCACCACCAAGCTACTTTATTTTAGCCAAGGTGTTTCCATTGGGCATTTTTAGCATGATTGAGCTCTTATTTTGAAAAACGGACAATGTAAAAAAAATGCATTTTGAGGTCGATTGAGCTCTTATTTTGAAAAGAAGCACATTTGACAAAGTGAAAAGAGAATTTTAAAGGATGATTGAGCTCTTATTTTGAAAATAAGTACCATGGAGATCTTGGTTTCCAACACCAAGCTACTTTATTTTAGCTAAGGTGTTTCCATTGGGCCTTTTTAGCATGATTGAGCTCTTATTTTGAAAATAAAGTACCATAGCAATCTTGAATCCACTATCAAGCTACTTTTTATTTTATCTGATGAGCTTCATTTACTTATTTGTAAGTTAATTAAGCTCTTATTTAGAAAATGAAGTACCTTTGGAGATCTTAAATCCACAGCCAAGTTACTTTATTTTAGCTAACATGTTTCCATTGTGCATTTCTGGCATGATTGAGTTCTTATTTGAACAAAATAAACACATTTGAGAAAGTGAAAAGAAAATGTTAAAGGATGATGCAACTCTTATTTTGAAAATAAGTACCATGGCGATCTTGGTTTCCACCACCAAGCTACTTTATTTTAGCTAAGGTGTTTCCATTGGGCATTTTTAGCATGATTGAGCTCTTATTTTGAAAAACGAGAATTTTGAAGGATGATTCAGCTCTTATTTTGAAAATAAAGTACCATAGCGATCTTGAACCCGGCGCCTCGAGGCCCCAGCATGTTTCCCAGAGGGATCCTGCAGTCCTCCATGATGATGTTGGCCGTGGACGACGCCTTGATGCCCAGTTTGTCCTCCTTCTTCCCCAGAGAGAGACCGGGGTGAGGCATGGGGATCAGGAAGGCACTGATACCCTGAACACACGGAACAAAACACACCTTAGAGGAAGTAACAAAGCGCCACAAATATGTGAAACAGGTTTCTAAAGATCACAATGCTTCCTTTATCTCTTTGTGTAGGATGTGTCTTGCCTTGTGTTTGAGCTTCTTGTCGGTGGTGGCGAACACGATGGTGGCCGAGGCGTCCCAGCTGTTGGTGATCCAGGCTTTGGTCCCGTTCAGAACCCAGTCCTCTCCGTCCTGAAGGGCCACGGTGGAGGCCGCGCCCGCATCACTGCCGTTACCTGGAGGGGGGATCAATATGCATTTAGCTCACGTGAGAACGCACAAATTGCACTTGTTTTAATGCATTTTCTTGTTTCTATTGTAAAGCCATTTGACCCACTCCCCGTGAATAAAAGGTGATATATAACTAACAGTGTTATTATTGTTATCATCATCATGAATGACCCGTTTACCTGGCTCACTGAGTCCGAAGCAGCCCACCTTCTCTCCGGTGGTGAACGGTGTGATCCACTGCTGCTTCTGCTCCTCTGTGCCGTTCTTTAATATCGGCCCGATGTACAGAGACTAGGAAACACACAGAAATATTATTGTTTATTAGCTATAGGGGAGAACACAGGCCATGTAGCTGCTTAATCATGATTACAGTTAAAAGACAAGAAGAAAACTACATTTTTAACCAGTTTGAATCTTAAAGGTCTTCTATTATACTATTTGTATATATTATAGGTCTCAGATATATAAAAAAACATGTCTTTGAAGTGTTTTGCTGAAAATACCAAACAGATCATGCATTCTAGCCTCAAACCCCTGCCCTGTTACTAAAGTGCTGATTCTGGGTCCGTAGCTTTAAAAAAACAAAACGTGATAAAACTCCATATCCTGTTCCAAACCACATCAAGGATTCTCTCTGAAACAGTCTGGAGCTCAAAGGCTTTCTCTCTTGCCGGTTATACCACAAGGTGAGTTCCTTTTTACTTCCTGCTTCTTCACACACATGTTCTCCAGTACAGGTTAGCTCTGAGTGTTAGCGATGCTAATGTAAACACCGACCATATTACGTCCAAAACAGTCGGGCATTGTTTCTGATAGCAACGTTTCTGATTGGCCCGTGGGTCCACATTTCAGATATTACGTCATATCGGACGCAAATCTGGATCAGCTCCGTTGTTCCCCGTTTTTAGAGATTTGGGTACGGAGGAAAAGAGAGAGGGTTTTATTTCCTGACACACCGGGGACACATATCTATGTATAAATAAAGTGCATTTTGCAGGATAGGAGATCGTTAAAAACAGCTGATATAAAAACACACTCACGTTATTGACGGACACCACGACCCCCGTGCTGGCGCAGCCTCGGCTGATCTCCTCCATGGCCAGACTGTAGGCCAGGTAGTCCATCCCCGCCCCCCCCCAGCTCCTCCGGCACCTCCATGGCCATCACACCCAGCGCCCCCAAATCCTGGATCTGCAGCAGCGTGCACAGGAAGAACATGTTACATACCTTAAACATGAGATAACCCCCTTACTATATTCATTACTCACAGTCAGGGACGTGCACAGGTACGGGCTAATGTTGCCCGGGCAACGGCCCTTTTGAACTTTTTGGCTGACCTGCCCCTCTGGAGAGAGCGAAAGTCTTTTTTTTCTGTTGTGGCCGAATCAACATGATAAGCCCACAATTAGTATTGTAGAGTCTCGCTGCGATAAAACACACCTTGTCAGCGCTGTCATCTGCCCCCAGTCACGTGACTTTGTTTACAATCTGACAGCTGGAAGCAAAGGAAAGCCCTCCGAGTCCGGTCCGGCCTCATGTGGCTATGGTGATCATGTGCCTGCCTGGCTTTGGTGGCCAATCCTCGGGTCAATCTGTCCCCGGAAATGTTCCCGTTTTTAAATATGCTTAAATTGATTTTGAGTTTTCTCATGGCAGTTAGAGTATAGGGGACAAACCAGGGACTTTACTTCCTCTTGACACCAATTAGTGATTTTATTTAAGGCACAGCAGTTACAATGGTCAAACTACATTTAAAACAGAATTGTCCGCATTTTATCTTTAATAGTTACATTAGATATGTTAATGAGATATGGACCGCAAAAAAATGTTTCCCCTGGTTTTCATTTTTTAATTCTTACGTTTTTCAGGGGGGATCGGGGGGCGGCCCTTTTTCTAGTTTAGAGCAATAGCCCCTCTAAATGTCTGTGCACGTCCCTGCTCACAGTCATTATTTACATGTTCAGAAACCAGAAGATCTTACATCTCAAATGAAGTCTCAGGAAATATTAAGTCTGGCACAACCATTTTCTTATAAAGTCCTATCTTATCTTGTGTAGTTTCCCCACAGCTGCAGACGCACATTTATGACGTCCGCTGGCCATCATAAATACTTTGATGCAGTCGGATTCTCAAAGCAGTCTCTTTTCCTAAATCCTTTTGAATAATGCAAGTAAATACAAATAAAATAGAAATAGTTTCACACAGAGGTCAAGGAATAGTGGATAGGAAAAGACGATTGGAGCAGATTTTTAGACAATTCGACTGCAACCTAAGCGGTAGTAGCGCAAGAGTTCAATTGTACCTGTTTTTTAGGGAAAGCATGCTCTTTGTCCAGCTTCCCGGCGATGGGGGTCAGCTCTCGGTCGGCGAAGTCTCTGCAGGTCTGTCGGAGCAGCTGGTGAGTCTCCGACAGCTCTGCCAGAGCCGAGAAACTCCGACAGGAGAGACACAGACCGAGCGCTGAGGGAGACAAAGAGAGATTCATTAGTTAGAATATCTCAACCAGGGATTAACGATGTGGAGAATAGACGATTGGGATTACTGTGATTATTGTGATATTGCAATTACAATCTGATTCAAGACCGAGCGCTGAGGATGGGACAGAAAGAGAGATTCATGAAGAAAATGCATCACAATAAACAATACTAAGTTATTTTTTACTGTTTACCTATTTATTAAAGCATGCTTTTGTTTCTGTTGCACTTTGTCTCTTTACTGTTGTAACAGTATTGTTTATAATAGTAATTATTTCAGTAAATCATCTGAATACTTCCATATAATCCACATATAGTTTCACATGCCTTTATTTCCCTTATTCTGCATAGACTTCCTTCTGTCTTTGAACGCACCACTGCTAGCTTTACATGAAGTAGGTGAAAGGTTATCCTCATCCTCAGTCACCTTCACATCTCTCTGACAGTTATAGAAACACCAAACTATCAAGAATAGCTCTCAAACAACAACAGTTGCCATTCATTAAACTACGTCATTACTTGTTATTAATGTTATTAAACATAGCTAACCTGTTACCTAAATTAGCCAAAAGCTAACATGTAGCTGCTAACTTCTTCCCTTAAATTAGCCTAAAACTAACTCTAATAAACATGTTTCCATATTATAACAACGCGTTTCCTCTGTCAGTAACGAAAGCTAACACACATGTATATGTATATGACAATAAGGTATCATATACAGTGTTAAATTACATAATAAGACCTTCATGTTTGAACTGGTTACATATCAAGCTAACTATGATATTTCTCTATGGTATTTCCCATTTGTTTACACACGTGTTACATAGCCTATGCATGTTACTTTGGTTATTTTTATATATATTTCTCCTCATTTACTCACCCTTTCTAGCTTTAAAGAGAGCAGCCATGCCTCCTTCAGGAACAGATTTGAACTGAGGTGTTATGAAACACAATGCTGCCTTTAGGTGCCGTCGGAATTATTAGTACTAGCAGGTGGAAGCAAACGTCAGTTGAGAATTATGAACGAAAGTATGTACATCATCGTATATACAGTATATTGAGGTACGTGGTTTCTCACTATTATGATTATTAATGTATTTTTATCACAGCTGGTCAATGTAGAGCTAATTTGAATAACATTATATTATACTGCTGTTGGATATCTGAACCTATAAATATATGTCAAAGTGTATTTAATCATTGGTTTGTATAATGTTTAAGCTTTAAGTACTCAAAATTGTGTAGATGTCAACAACGAGGCATTTAAAGGTGTTTCACAATGTTATTTTTTTGTTTTTAGAGTTGATTTTCCTTGTTCAAAAACACAAATACAACAAGGCAACTGAGTGTGGAATTTCCGGGGACCTTGAAGGCAACACGTGTTCACTTTAACATGACGCTACGTAAATGTAACTCTCTCATAGATTCAATTCAATGTGTGTCTTTGGTTCACCTGAACTTATTAATGAAATGTTAAAGTCCCAAAGCAACCAGTAAATGTATTAAAACCATTTTCTCTTGGAGTCTCAGTTACTACACCACCTTCTGTTTGTTGTTGAAGAAATAAATACCTTGAGTATTATTTATTGTAGTAACTTTTCACTTAAGTAATAGTACAACATGTAGTAAAAATGTAGCAAATAACCAAACGTATGGCTCTTTTAAAAGCAAAAAACTATGATATTATTTGTTGGAATTACTTAAATGTGTGTCTAAATATTTGATTTATTTACTTTTTCTTTGTATTTATTATTTTCGTGTGTGTGTGTGTGTGTGTGTGTGTGTGTGTGTGTGTGTGTGTGTGTGTGTGTGTGTGATTTAAATTGGGTCATCCCAAAATGATGCTTCGAAATGTACATGTATCATTGATAACCTTGCACATTGAAGGTAATATAAAACAGTATAATGTGTTTTTTTTTACCCATTATGATATCTAATAATAGCTGTAATATAAAAGCGACCTGTAGGAGATGCAAATAAATAAACACACTTCCCTTTAAGGGCACACCAAACAACAAACACACCATTAACTCCAACAGATAAATAAAGGTAATTCAGCAAGTGAGCTTTTCAGGGTTTTCACAACTTGTTTATTTTGTAGCACCATAAAAAGTCAGTGGGTGTTGAGTTCTCATCCCGTCTTTCCTTTGGGATGGAGCCATGATGGTGGTGTAGATTTAGGGAAGGGTTGGAGATCTAAAGATGGTGGGTGGGGTCAGTATTTACTTGGTGGCGGAGGTGAAGGTGAAGCAGCCTCTCTGGTGGAACTGCATGTCTCTGATGCGACGCATGGACTGCATCTGAGGCTGGTAGGCGCTGAAATCGTTGTAGTGTTTGTAGTCTCCGCACTCAAACAGGTACTGGTAGCCCCTGTATCCGGGGTACTGGTAACCCACCCAACTGGAAGGGAAGAGGGAGGAGGGTTAGTCAAGGGTCAATTGTCAACAGTATCATGCTTAGACTCATTGGTTTGATTATAGGATGTTAAAGTGGTGGTACAGGAGTACACTTAAGGGTTCTTTAGGAGGTTCTGAGGGTCCACAAAGCAGATGTATTGTGTGCTGAGAAGGTTCCAGGGGTCTTTTTAAGAGGTCCTTAGTCAGACATAAGTGTTTAGAAGTCCATTCAGAGGTTTGGGTTTCATTGAAGAGATTCTAGGAGTCCCTAAGATGGTCTTTTAAAGAGTTCTGAGAAGACCAGTGGGGTTTTTGGTCATTGAGGATATTCAACAGGTCCCTAAGATGATTTAAGTGGCTGTTGAGGAGGTTCCAGGGGTCTTTAAAGCAGTTTTAGTGTGTGCTGAGGAGGTTCCAGTCATTTTTAAGAGGTCCTTTAGGAGTTTTAAGAAACCAAAGGATGTTATTAGTCATATATAAGAGTTTAGAAGTCCATTAAGAGGTTTGGGTTTCATTGAGGAGGTTCTAGGGTTAGGGCTAGGGCTAGGTTAGGGTTAGGGTCCCTAAAGCAGTTTTAGTGTCTGCTGAGGAGGTTCCAGGTTTTTCTTAAGAGGTCCTTAGTCAGACATAAGTGTTTAGAAGTCCATTCAGAGGTTTGGGTTTCCTTGAGGAGGTTCTACGGGTCCCTACGATGATTTTGATGGCTGTTGAGGAGGTTCTAGGGGTCTTTGAAGTGATTCTATGGGTCAGTGAGGAGGTTCCAGGGGTCTTTAAAGATAGTTTTTTCTCTACTTTTGCATTTCAAAATCGTCGGTTATAAATCCAAATCTCTCTGCCTTGCTGCTTGTGAGGATATGTCTTTGTGTAAGTAGATCAGAGCGTATATGAAAGCAGGTTGTTTCCAACATATGGGACTACAAATCTGTCTTTTTCTCTCACTTTTCTCTACGTTTTCTTTATAATTGTTCTGAGGACATCTTATTGCATAGGAGCTTCTAGGTTTCCTCCAGGTGTCTGAATAGGAACTATAATCTATAAAAGCATACGATGTGTACTCACGATCCTCCAGGAACCCTCACGCTGCCCACTCTGTCACAGAACCCATGCGCCCACAGGGTGGGAACATCATCCTCCTGGATCTCCATCTTGTTGCCCTTGAAGTCGGAGAGCTCGTAGAGGCAGATCTTGTGCTCCATGCTGTCCTGCAGGGGGGGGGGTCAGGGGGTCATGTTACAGTACATCATGTATGGGTGATAAGGCTGATCAAAGAGAGGGCGAAGAGGAAGTTTGAGTCACTATTAAAGCAAAATGTCCCCAAAACATCTCAGTTCTAGCTTCCTAAATCGTACATATGATAGTAAACTGAATGTCTTTGTATTTTATATTCTACTTTTTCTTATTCTACTATTTAAATATGTGTCATGTCCTTACATTGCTGGTGTTTTATAAGAATTTAAATCGTGTTCAGGTCGTTTTCTTTGTTCGTTTCATAGAACTATTCGTATTAAAGTTCACCAACAAAGGTAGCATTTCATATTGTGTTCATAAATAAGATAATGCCGTCTAGTTAGGGATATTTACAGGGTAATTTCTCAATAATGATGTTATATAATGTTAGATAATGCAGTATATAATGAACCTGCCGATGGGTCTGAGGGACATGAGGCAGTGGTAGGAGTTGCTCCAGGTTGTTATATAATGATCTTATTAAATGTAGGATAATGCAGTTGTGTTTATATATTTTAAATCGTCTTATTAAGCGTACCATGCGGACGGGCCTGAGGGACATGAGGCAGTCGCTGCGGTAGGAGTTGCTCCAGGTGTCCCAGCGAGGATACTCTCCCTTCTCCAGGATGAACATCTCCCCACGGAAGTTAGTCTGCTCAAATGCAACAAAGCTGGAGGGTGAGGGAGGAGAGGAGAATTAGAGGGGATAATATTATATATATATAAGAAGATATCTGCAGTAATGTGTGTCCACTTACGGGCCGCACTCCACAATGATACTACGCACTCTATCCATGCCACGGTCACACACGTTCATACACTCATTCTGGACCTCGATCATCTTTCCCTGGAAGTTCTCCTGGTCGAACATCATCATCTGCACACAGGGAACAGCAGGGAGCAGTTATACAGAGACATAGAGAAGGGCAGTTTATGCTGCATGCATTCGTTTGAATGAAAGGTAACTCATCCATGCAATATCAAACACTGGAAAGCTTTAATGGGTCTAAAAGACTATGGGTCGGATATTATTTGAAAAGAAAACGATGTCAATCTCCCAAAATATGTCTTTTTCTATCAGTTTTCTCTACTTTAACCAACGCATTTCAAAAACTCAGCTACATGGCTGCATGTTTTCTTTATCATTTGTGCAACTGGCCCTTTAAATAGATCAGATTGTATATTAAAGCAGGCTGTTTTTTACAGATGGGACTACAAATATGTCTTTTTCTGTCACTTTTCTCTACGTAGCTGGCCCTTTAAATCAATCAGGTTGCGTGTGTTTCCTGCAGATGGGACTAAACATCTCTCTTTTTCTCTCTCAGTACATTTTCTCTATAGTTTGAGTAACTGGTATTAACCCAGTTCCTAAAGTGCAGGCACAGCGGGGACTACTCACTCTGAAGGACCCCATGCCGGGCTCTCCGGTCTTGGTGGCCTTGCTGGTGGCGGCAGGGGGGGCGCCCTTGTCCTTGGCGTCGGTTCCCTGGCTGGAGGCGGACTTGGCGGTCTGAGACATGGTGAGAGTCTGAAACAGAGACAGAGGTCTATCAAATCAAATCAAACTTTATTTGTATAGCCCAATGTCACAAAGCTGTGTGTCTCTGTGGGCTTTACAGATTCAAAACAACATTGTATATGATGGAGTTACAGCAAAATGAGAAGACAAGATAGTATAGTTATATAGGTGTATACATATTTGTATACATATATTATTTGTATATATATTTGTATTTTGTATTCCTCGGGATTGTGGGAAACGGTATTTCGATCTCTCTGTCTGTACTGAAAGATTGACAATGAAGTGGACTTTGACTTTGAAGTGACAGGATGATGAGAAACAAAAAAATGAAAGTATTAAACGTAAAAGTAACAAATGCAATAAAATCTAAAATAATTACTTATAAAACACTCAAAAGATTTATCGTTAAAAGTAGTTAAAAAGGTCAAATAAATAAAAAACGTTTCATGATCATTCCTACAGGTGTAGCGGAGAAATAGCCAAATTAAGATTAAAAAATAAGTAAAATCATCATCATGTAGTTAAAGTGTTGAATGTACAAAATTCTAAAACACCAAATGTATTTAAAATAATTTAGAAAATGTATTTTAATTTCTTCTCAATCTGTTCTCGTATGAACAGTTGATTTTATAACCCTCTAAAAATCTACTTTTTTAAACGTTTTTTATGCAAAAATCTTAATTTGTGAAGTAAATAAAGCTGTTGTAAAAACAAATGCTATATTTCCATTTTTAAATTGTAGTGGTAAAGTACCTCTAAAATTAAATAAAGTACTTGTTATTCTCCACCTCTGTGTTCATCATGGAGGTTTATAG